AATCACACCGACAAGAGCTTCACCACCATTCTTCATCAGGACAGTGAAGTTAACGGCTTGGAGGTCGAAACCAAGGACGGAGAATGGATCACTGTCGAGATGTCGCCTTCAAAATTCGTGGTCATGGCTGGAGATGCATTAATGGTGAGTGCTGATCTAAATTTCCTTATTGAAACTAAGGAATGAGAAATGATAAGCACGAAATTAAACATTTCTCAGGAAAAACTAAAGTGCTTACTGGACCACAAGTGTAATTCACCACCTACAAGTTTCTATGATTGAAATATATGATATTGCTTGTCTTACATCTTGATTTAAAGTAGGATAGTCACTCAATAAATGAGGGATCATAGAACAATAAAATAAGTGCCAACTATTTCCTAGAAAAACATATAAGTTAAATTCAGATTAGAGGAATGAGTGAAAATGGTCCTGAAGTACTTCAAGCGCACTAAATACTTAAGAGTTCAATCTATGTAAATGACTAATATATTATTGCAATACAGAAGTAGATGTAGTTTCGAAGTTAATCTCATTCTGTCAAAATCCAGGACTCAATCGAAATGTTGAGTGCATGGAATTACAAATCTTGAGCTAACCTTGACATAACCAGAAATAAATCTGGGATCGATGCCGGGCCAAACATAAAACGTTGAGTTCTTGATTCTAGTCAAGTTCAAGACTTCACTCAGTTAAATCCATATATGCCTGAAATTTCAAGTTTAACAATTGAACTGGCGTTTGAACAGGCATGGAGCAACGATAGGATACAGTCTCCAAACCACAAGGTGACCATTAACGGCAAGGAAGACAGATACTCGCTCGCGCTGTTCTCGTTCAATAATGGAACACTACAAGTTCCCGAAGAGCTCGTTGATGACGATCACCCGTTAAAGTACAAGCCATTCAATCATCTTGGTCTACTCCGATTCTTTCGTACCGACGAAGGGTATAAATCCAAGTGTCCAATCAAAGCCTATTGTGGCGTGTAGGGTCATGATTGATCATGAAGTGTTGCTATATTCCCAGTTATGTGCTTTAGTCTTGGTGTAGCTTGTGAGTGATGCCTTTCCAGTAGTCAAGGAATGACTACTTTTGGTTTTTCTTCTTATGTGACGTGAAACTCCACCTTGGTGAATAAATCTTAAACCCTATGAAATACGCTCTTGCAATGAAACCTATTGATTGTGGATTAGATTGAATCTATACATGCAACGACACATTCTGCTGAAGTAGAACAAGAACACTTTCTAAAATTGTGATTTTTGGTAAGGATAATTTCTTTCCCGGCAGTATCATCCATTAGTTACGTACATGACACGCATGAGAATAATGTTATCAAAATGATCCTAGTATTAAATACAATAATGTTTTTTGAGATTATTTTTTCACAAACATTGAATTTTAAATTAAATGACAAAAATTTAAAATTTACTAAATCTAATTAACATGTAATGTAGCAAGTATCTCAAGTGATAAGCGTGTTCGTGGAGTTTAAGTACCAAGCATGTTTCGCTTCCTCTTTTACTTGGATTTGCGTAGTCCGTTGAGGCAAGATAGGAATAAGATCATCTTAAGTTGCTAAGATAATTAATGAAGAGTTCATAAATGATTATCTAATGACAAAAGGGTTTAAATGTCAAATGCTAATCAATCAATTGAGCTTTTAAAAAAATGGAAGACCACTAAAATCCGGGGGTTGTTAGTACACTCATTTTTCTATGACATGAAACAGTAGGAAAGATTTGGATTGTCTTAGATATATCAGATAGCAAAATATATTGAGACCCCACCAGGATCTTCTTCTTTGTATATTGTTTTACTGCTACTCTCGGAGGTTATTATACACGTGGCAATTATTCTTTTGGATTCAGTCTCCATCGTAGAGTCATGTTTTCTCCAAAAACATAAAGTTGGCTTTCCCAAATCTTCCCCACCCTTAGTTAGGAAACTTGTGCTTAATTTGATGTAAGAGGAACCGAAATCTCAAAGTGCCCCTACATCCATTTATTTCCTCAATGAACTCCTATAACTTGACTGAGCAAGTGTGTCAATTTCACCCCTACAATCAATTTATCACGAGAACACTTAAGTGCGGTTGGTGCACGTACGTCCAATGTGATTCTTTGATGCCACAAGAAGGGAAAACTACTTGGTACTCTTGATCTATGTTAACTCTACATTATTTGTTAGACTCACGTGATTTAACAGTTCATGTGAAGTAGGCTAATGTAAGTTGGAAATATAAAAAATAACTCTGAAGAAGATAATCTTAATCCTGAATATTAGCTAACATGATTAGTAGAGTATAAATTTTTCGTTTTTATCTTTTTTCTCATTCGAATAAATGCGCTCTTTATTGGTGCCAAAGCACAAACTTTTGACAAAGCGATTTCGGGTGACGCATATCGAGTTAATTGAGACAAAATTAGAGGAAGCATTTTGGGATTTTGTGTTCATCTCAAGGACACTTCGAAATTAAACTCTTCTTGATTTTCATCTAAAAAAATATTGTTGTGGCAACAAAGCAAAAGGCCATCGGATCCACCACTAAGCTAATTTCTACTCGCCATAAGCACTTGATCAATCACCTAGCAAAACAAGAAAAAGAAAAAGAAAAAGAAAAAGAAAAAGAAAAGGAAAAAGAAAAAGAAAAAGAAATAACAAACAAAGGACCATTTGAAGGAGACATAAAATCACCTTTATGCGCAGACCACAAAGTAAACTAGGGACATTCAACTGGGAGGATTCTAACTGGTCAAGAGAAAAAAAAAAGATTTTCTTTCGTGTTGGTAGATTTCTGTAAAAGTTTGGTAGATATGAAAAAAAAAAACTGTTAGTAAAAATATTCACGGATCACTTGATTTCATAGTAACTTGTTTGTAATTCACCAAACCTTTTAAATTCTAACTCAATTTTATAGTTCACATATTAGCTAGGTGATAACTTAATGGAAAAAAAAATTGGTAAGTCATGCTAATTTAGGTTGGCAATCTCTAAAAGAGTTTGTAAATGTAAAGGGTTGCTAACCAAGGCACACGAAAACTGATCAATCAATATACAAAGTTTTTTTTTTTTTTTGGTAACCAAGAATCCGCCACCATTCCCCGGGGACAAGCCCGCACAGGTAATCGGGGCGCCTATACCTCGGGGGAGACTAACTCAGTAACCCACCGCTAGGGCCCCCCACTTAAATTACGGAACCGAGCGGGGATTCGAACCCAGAATCTCTGAGGAGGGAAGGAAAGTGTCCACCAACTCGGCCATGCGCAGGTGGGTATCAATATACAAAGTTGGTAAATTAGAAAAGAAAAAAAAATAAAAGTAGGTAAATGGCTGAAATGAGAATTGTAAACCCAAAACTAGTGTGTAATTAATCTCATAGGGAAAATTACTCTAATTTAGGTGGGTACGAAGCCAACCTATTGTACAATAAAATTATGAGTTGGTGAATCACTCTAATTTGGTAAGTCAGTATTATAGGAAGGAGAATCACTCTAATTTAGGTTGGTGAGCCAACCTTTTTTATTCATACAATTTGGTAAATCACTCTAATTTGGGTTGGTAATTTTTTATAGTAGTTAATAAATACAAAGCTTTAATAAGTTATAGAAATAAAAGTTGGTACGGCAATATCACCAAAAACAAATCGATACTTCTATATAAGTATTGATAAAATTACCAATAAGTTAGCTGAAAAAAGTCACAGCCAATGTTTTACCAATAGTTTATGGCATTTACCAACACTTAATGAAATTTACCAGCACGCAAAAAAGCTTATATTTTTAGACATGGGACCATAGTATTCTGTAATTTACTGTTAGTAAAGTTTATCAAATGTGAGCCACACCTAAATTTCGTGGCGTTTTACAAAGGCCACGAGGTTATCTCATCACTTATCGGCAAAATAATTAATCATCACCTCAATCATGATATAAATTGTATCTTTCTCTTCTTCTAGATTGTGTCATCGTCATCTTTGTATAATAATAAACTAGGAATAAGTCCTAGCCTCACGGGACCTCGGGTGACGATTACATCAATATTGTAGACTCATCAATCACAATAAAAAATGAAAAGCCAGGTTGGACCATTAAAATGGGTTATATCGAAAAAAGGACGTTATAATTTTTTTTCATTGTTTGGTCCCGGAGGATGAAAGGGATGTAAACCTTGAATTTTGGGTAATATAAATTGTTAAAATAATTGATCTATAGTCATCTCTTAGCATGATAAAGAGACTCACCCATTTACTTTTTTGGGGGTAATACATACCACTGAGTCGATTGATGTACAACAAAAAAATTAAATTCATAAGTCGGTTTCATTTCATTAGGTTGAAATGACCATCGTCAATTTATCCAAAAATCTGAACTTGACAAGAATTGCCCATAATTTGGATATTCTAACACTTCCTTCCAATGTCTATTAACAGGTTATTTGATAAAAATTTATTAATCTATATAAAATTTTCTCATAGCAAAATTCACTGAATCGTTCATTAAAAGTGCTTTTTAATCACTTATCTACTTAATCATATAGCAAGTTGTTCGTTTTGGAAGCACATTAAGGATCGGACTTTATTGCTCATATAATAACGTGGGCACATAGGTAATAACGTTAAAACCAATATCCTCATTACTTTACAACGTTGAAAAGGTCTTGGTGAATAAAAGACATTTTCGTCTATAGAATCTTATCGACATCTCCGCCATTAACTTTTCCAACATTGTCGTAAACAATGAGATCAAGGATAAAGCTACAAAAATTCTTACGCTTAATAATATTTGTGCTCATAACCCTCCAAATTAATCAGAAGAGATGAGGACAATTATTTGCAATCCCAATCATTCCTCGTGTCATAGTTCATTAAAAAATGTTGTTACGCTAAATTTTCTTTCTTGTCGTGTCTTACGTCCGCAAGAGGGGGACCTTATAAATCCCAGGACCACGAACATCACGTCCTTAATCAGTGGTCCTTCAGGAAATAATCCTTTTTCCATAATAAATTAATTCCAATGGGTTCTCAGTCTAGGCTATTGCCTGAACTTCCTGTTATAGAATTTTCCCAGGAAAATCTCAATCCTGGAACGGATCTGTGGATCTCCACGTCCAAACGCGTCGTTTTTGCCCTAGAAGAGTACGGCTGCTTCGTAGCAACGTACTCTGATTTCACTTCAGAAGCTGAAGACGAAATTTTTCATGCACTTGAGGAAATGTTCGATTTACCTACCGAGGTTAAGTCGAGAAACACCTCTGAGAAACCCTACTTTGGCTACGTCGGGCAACACCCCTCCATTCCTCTGAATGAGAGCTTGGGCATTGACAATGCGACGACCCTCGAAGGTGTGCAAAGTTTCATGAACCTCTTGTGGCCGGCTGGTAACAAGCGGTTCAGGTACGAATAGCAATTCTCGAAGGATTATTTCTGTGTTTCCCTGATCCGAATTTTGCGTGTTTTGGCTGATCTTTGTTGTGGAAACGTTCATCTACTTTATCGGTTCCTAGCGATGGCGCGCTTGCATTCTCGAAGAAGGTATCGGAGCTTGAGCAGATGGTGAAGAGGATGGTGTTCGAGAGCTATGGGGTGAAGAAGTACTACGACTCGCATGTCGCGTCGGCCACTTACCTCCTTAGGTTAATGAAATATAGGGCTCCGGAGATGAACGAGACAAATCAGGGTTGTGACGTCCACACGGATAAGAGCTTCATGACCATACTTCACCAGAATCAAGTTGATGGTTTGGAGCTCAAGACGAAGGATGGCGATTGGATTGCCTTTGAATCGTCACCAACATCATTCTTGGTCATGGCAGGCGATGCATTCTTGGTAGGTGATCAATAGACAGATTTGTGATGCCAACCTCAGATTTGCTAGCAATGTTTGATTAATTACCGCGCCAAAAACAATTTCAACTTAAAGATGAAAAATAGTCGATCTTAATCTGTAGACCAGAACTAATCTCGACTCTAGTCGATTCGAATTCATGTCAAGTTCAACTTTGTAGTACCTTTCCCTTATTTTCTTGTTTTCTGTGTGGATCAAACATAGCTTGATTGCAACTGTTTCCAAAAGGACGTTGATCCATCAAAAAGTTAGAACACATTCGGTCGATTATCAACGGCGTCGTCTATCTCACCTATGAGAGTGTCTCTTTTGACTTGAGTAATGGAAAATGACTAAACTTCTTTTGAACAGGCATGGAGCAACGGAAGGATACATGCTCCGTTGCATCAAGTGGTGATGAAGGAGAAGAAATCGCCCAGGTACTCGCTGGGCTTGTTCGCCTTCCACAGTGGAATAATCGAAATCCCGCCAGAATTAGCAGATCCTGAGAATCCATTGAAGTTCAAAGCGTTCGATCATTATGGGTTGCTCCGTTACTTTTCCAAGGACGACGTCCCCAAAGATGTGAGCTCTGCCCAGGCGTATTGTGGCATTTAAAAGAGCCACAGGATCAGCTAGTTGATAACGCATCACGTTCTTCACGACTTATGTTTTATGCAAAGATGTTTACGTTTTCGTGACGTGATGATATATACTTACGTTATATGTGCTGAAGAAATAAGGTACTTGAGTGTGTAGCATATCATAATTGAGTGACGATAGCAACTTGAACGACTGTAGAATGCATCATTATTGTGTTATTAAGATTTATGCAAAGATGTTTACGTTTTCGTGACGTGATGATATATACTTACGTTATATGTGCTGAAGAAATAAGGTACTTGAGTGTGTAGCATATCATAATTGAGTGACGATAGCAACTTGAACGACTGTAGAATGCATCATTATTGTGTTATTAAGATATAATAGTTGAATGAGGTCATGGATCAAGTTGCATACAGAGAAGGCTTCACGCTTCAATAATTTACTCAGAAACAACAAAGAACAAGAGGTGTACTAGATTTAGTTGAATATATGTTCACAGAATTCCAGTGTCTCAGACCGGTGACCTCCTGATTGAGCTCTTCGACTCAAAACAATCATCTCCCTCTTACTCATGCATCCAATCTCATATGCCACGAGTATGTTGTGTCGTTCCTGACTTGAGGCCTCAGAGAATTTAACAGTTGAGACAATCATTGCCGTTTTCGTCGGGAGATATAACTCACAATCTATCCTCCCCTGCGTCAGAGTAAGCACACATCGAGAGACATTCAAAACTCTATATTCAAAGGAAATCCAATATACAAACACACCATGCGGACACGTCAACAGCACTCAACGAGGCAAGGTTATTTCTCAGCTGTGGCACATGTCTTACGTTAGTCTACGTTCTCACCATTCCGTCGTGCATCTTAATCTAAACTATTCCGATTCCTACAACTTCACAAGCAGCATCGTTTTCCATAAACACTTTACCATCCTCCGCACACTGATATTTAGTAAATCAGTGTCTATGAGAAACCATATGCTAACACATCCAAAGTCAACCACCCAATCATCACCTAATGAACTTATGATGACTGCTAACACATCATTAGGAACACTGAAACTCTTACTTGCTCTGGTGACAATATTACCTTTGTTTGCAAACTCCACCTTAACTCTTTTACTCTTGTGCTTCGAACAATCTCTCATTTAGTGCCCTACCTCATCACAGTGTAGCATCGATGGTTCCGAACATTGGATCTCTATTTGAATGGCTCTTCCATCTCCTACCTCTAGTGTCTCTACGTTTGTCTCTACCCCGAATAACCAAACTTTACGCAATATGCTAAGTTATCTTTTCATAACTTCTCTTGCCACGAGGTGGACTTTACCTCTTCCAAGGCAATTGTGTGCATCCATGTAAAAGTGAACCAGTAAAGTGTTAAATTATGACTCGAGTTTGAGCTATTTATGAAACGTGTCTTGCTTGGATAAATATATCTTTTCTATCGGGGATAATATCGAAGATCGTTCGCGAAAGGAAATCCTCTCCTGGTACGTACTGTAGACGTCTTCAGCAGAAAGGGCATATTGGCACTAGAGGACAAAAGATGGGCACACATATTCTACAATTTATATATTTCTTTTATGGGTAGTTTGTGGGCCCAAGGGTAAAAGAAAAGAAGATCAAGCATTTACGTTGTGCGGCTGAAGAGTTTGTTCTTTTGTATTATCCAAGGGCATAAAGGTCATTGTGAGAAAACATACTCTTCTCTAACCTACAGTGGCCGCGTGGATATATAAGGGAAAAGAACCGTAGGTTTTTCTTTTGAGCCGCGAAGAGCCACACAGGAAGAAGTCGCGATCGCCGAAGAGAAATCGTACGAAGGAATTATCTGAACACGGTGATTTGTGCAGTGAGTTTATTTTGTCAAATCAAGTTGTTTATTCGTAAATATTTTGGGTTTGGGCTTAAATCTAGGTGTGGGAAACACTCGAGCGTTTTGAGCGAATTGTAACTCTCCGATTATAGTGGATTATTTATTGCTGGCTCTCCCCGTGGATGTAAGTACCGATATTCGGACCGAACCACGTAAATCTCTGGTGTCCTTTATCGTTTCTCGTTTATTTTTCTGGTATTTTCGCATTGACTTAATTTGCAAGATCCTGTCGTTTCCGCGTTATATTTCCAACAATTGGTATCAGAGCTTGAGGGTTGGATTTTTCTGGATTGTGATTTGGGGCTTTTGCTTGTCTGATTATTATCTGAAAATTCTGTTATTGCAATTATGTCTGGAGCGAAAGTTGAGATTGAGAAGTTTAACGGGAGGAACAATTTTGGGTTATGGAGCGTCAAGATGCGTGCGCTATTGACAACCCAAGGTTTGGCCAAAGCATTAGATGGTGAAGATGGGTTACCCATTATAATGAAAGCGGCTGATAAAGCAGAGCTAATGGAGAAAGCAAAGAGTATAATCATGCTGAATTTATCGGATGAAGTGTTAATAGAGGTGGTTGAGGAGAAGGATGCCGCAGCATTGTGGGCAAAATTACAGGCACTCTATGTAACGAAGGGTTTGAACAATCGCTTGTACATGTTGAAGAGGATGTTTCCATTTCGATATACTGAAGGTACATCGATCAGATCTCACCTAGATGAATTTAATAAACTCATGATGGATTTGAAGAACGTCGGTAAGATACTTGATGATGAGGAACAGGGCATGATGTTATTGGCTTCTTTACCGGAATCATGGGAGCACTTTACTGATTCACTACTCCAAGGGCGTACTACGATTACCTCGGAAGAGGTAAAGTCAGCATTGTTCTCTAAAGAGTGGCAGAGGAAGTTGCGAGATGACAGTCTAGCGCAAGATGTAGCACGAGGACTAGTGATTCGAGGTAGAGAACAACATCGAGGGTCCAGTAGCAGCAGAGATAAAAGGAGGTCAAAGTCACGCAATAGAAAGTCTAAGAGACGCGTGAAGTGCTTTGAGTGTCACGAGGAGGGGCACATCAGGAGAGATTGTCCGAAGCAAAGAAATAGAGGTGACAAGCAGAATGCCACAAGCAATGTGGTAAACGTTGCTGAGGAGAGCACTAGTGATGCAGAAGCCGTCTTGTGTGTGACTACTGGTTCGTTAGGAGACGAATGGGTGCTAGATTCGGGGTGTTCTTATCATATGACGCCTCATAGGAACTGGTTTACTACTCACCAGACTGCAGATGGTGGTAGAGTTCTGATGGGGAATAATGCAACCTGCAATGTTGTGGGGATAGGAATAGTTCGGATTCGGATGCACGATGGGGTGGTACGCACACTGACAGACGTGAGGCATGTACCAAAGCTCAAGAAGAACCTTATTTCTCTAGGGACACTCGATGATATCGGGTGTAAGTACATCGCTGAAGGTGGAGTGCTGAAGGTCTCTCGAGGTGCCATGACAGTGATGAAGGGGAAGAAAGTGAGTTCTCTCTATCATCTACTGGGAGAGACCGTGACTGGATATGCTGCAGTTTCATCAGGTGAGTCAGATTCTGACTTGACTCAGTTATGGCATATGCGTTTGGGGTACATGAGTGAGGCAGGTATGACGATGCTGAGTGATAGGGGATTGTTGAAGGGTAGGAAGACAGGGAAGCTGGACTTATTTGAGCACTGCATCTTTGGGAAGCAGCGTCGGATTAAGTTTACAACAGCTGTTCATTCGACCAAGCGACCGGTTGAGTACATTCATTCAGACGTCTGGGGCCCATCTCCGGTTCCTTCGAAAGGAGGTGCCCGATATATGTTGACATTTATCGACGACTACTCTAGAAAGGTATGGGTTTACTTTCTGAAGCACAAATCTGATGTGTTTGATCGGTTCAAGAAGTTTAAGGCATTGATTGAGAAGCAGTCAGATAAACAGATCAAGTGCCTGAGAACCGATAACGGCATGGAGTTCTGTGGTAAAGATTTTACCGAGTTCTGTGAGAAAGAAGGGATTGTGAGACACTGCACAGTGCCTGGGACACCACAGCAGAATGGCGTTGCAGAACGGAAGAAAAGAACTTTATTGGAGCGAGCTCGGAGCATGCTTTCGCATGCAGGAATAGGCAAGGAATTTTGGGCCGAAGCAGTAAACATGACATGTTATCTAATAAATCGATCTCCATCATCTGCTATTGAGTGGAAAACTCCTGAGGAAGTATGGTCAGGGAAACCTGTTGATTACTCCGGATTACGAGTATTCGGATGTCCTGCGTATGCTCATGTGAGTGATGGTAAGCTTGAGCCGAGGGCGAAGAAGTGCATATTTCTGGGTTATGCACACGGGGTGAAAGGCTATCGGCTGTGGTGCACTGATACCAGATCACCCGATTTTCTAATCAGCAGAGACGTGATCTTCGACGAGACTGCAATGCTTCAAAGGAGGGGTCTTGAGACACAACAAGCAGAGCAGACAGATCGTGGTGTCAGCAGTGAGGTGGAGATTCAGGTGGAGACTTCGGAGACCTCGAAGGTAACAGAAACTGAGATTGCAGATGAGGCCGCAGTTCCTGAAGTCGGTGATAATGAACAATCAGCAGAGCCGCAGCACACTATAGCCGCGGGTAGACAGAGAAGGCAAATTAAACCATCGGCACGTTATGGTTATACAGATATTGCTTATGCATTGACTGTAGGTGACGAGGTGGAGATAGATGAGCCTTCGTCTTACTCTGAGGCAATGGCTAGTTCTGAGTCGTCGCAGTGGCTAGGGGCTATGAGTGAAGAGATGGAATCACTTCATCGGAATCAGACATGGGAGTTGGTCAAAGTACCTAAGAGCCAGAAGATTGTCGATAGCAAGTGGGTCTTTAAACGGAAGGAGAGCATTCCCGGTGTCGAGGCAGCGAGATATAAGGCGAGACTTGTGGCGAAGAGGTATACACAGCGGGAGGGCATTGACTACAACGAGGTGTTTTCTCCTGTGGTAAGACATACTTCTATTCGTGTTTTACTTGCCTTAGTTGCTGCACAGGATCTCGAGCTGGAGCAGTTAGACGTGAAAATAGCATTTCTTCACGGAGAGTTGGAGGAGCAGATTTACATGAGACAACCAGAAGGATTTGCTATTCCGGGTAAGGAAGATTATGTTTGTTTATTGAAGAAATCTTTATATGGGCTAAAACAGTCTCCTAGGCAGTAGTATAAGCGTTTTGATTCTTTTATGGCTAGTCAGAACTATTCTAAAAGTCATATGGATAGTTGTTTACTATAGGAGATTGGAGGATGGGTCGTTGATATATCTGTTAATATATGTTGATGATATGTTGATAGCAGCTAAGAATATGTCTGATATTATTGTGCTGAAGAGGCAATTGAGTGCTGAATTTGAGATGAAAGATTTAGGTGCTGTAAAGAAAATATTGGGTATGGAGATTTTGCGTGACAGAACTGCAGGAATTTTACGTCTTTCTCAGAAAAAATATATTGAGAAGATTGTTGCACGATTTAATATACAGTCGGCGAAATCTGTAAGTACACCTTTAGCGACGCACTTTAAACTTTCAGATAAGTTATTACCGCAGACTGAGGAGGAGGAGGAGCATATGTCCCGTGTTCCTTATTCTAGTGCAGTGGGTAGTATTATGTATGCTATGGTATGCACTACGTCTGATATTTCACAAGTAGTGAGCATTGTTAGTCGTTATATGAAGCATCCTGGTAAAGTTCATTGGGAAGCTGTGAAGTGGATCCTCAGATATTTAAAGGGGACAGCAGACGTTGGAATTGTGTACCAAAGGGACAATAATGGCAGTGAGGCCACTGGTTATGTGGATTCGGATCACGCAGGTGACTTGGATGAACGCAGGTCTTTAGCAGGGTACGTATTTACGCTAGCAGGTGGTGCAGTTAGTTGGAAGGCATCCTTACAGGATCACGTTGCCTTGTCTTCGACTGAGGCAGAGTACATGGCACTGACCTTTATAGCGAAAGAGGCGATATGGCTAAAAGGTTTACTCTCGGACTTTGGATTGGATCAGAAAAGTGTTGGTATACACTGTGATAACCAAGGTGCGATATATCTGGCATATAATCCGGTTTATCATGAGCGAACGAAGCATATCGACATCAGGTACCACTTCATCCGAGATGTCTTAGCGAAGGGCGTGGTTGTTGTTAATAAGATTGCGACAGCAGAGAATCCAGCGGACATGATGACTAAGCCTGTTTCTTTGGCAAAGCTCAAGCTCTGCTTGAGCACAATTGGCGTCTGTGGAGAGTGAGCGCCCGTCGGGGCGTTGGGAGAGCTAGCATGAATGATGAGCACTATAATTTGGCTACAAAAGTCGAGCCAAGGTGGAAAATTGTTAAATTATGACTCGAGTTTGAGCTATTTATGAAACGTGTCTTGCTTGGATAAATATATCTTTTCTATCGGGGATAATATCGAAGATCGTTCGCGAAAGGAAATCCTCTCCTGGTACGTACTGTAGACGTCTTCAGCAGAAAGGGCATATTGGCACTAGAGGACAAAAGATGGGCACACATATTCTACAATTTATATATTTCTTTTATGGGTAGTTTGTGGGCCCAAGGGTAAAAGAAAAGAAGATCAAGCATTTACGTTGTGCGGCTGAAGAGTTTGTTCTTTTGTATTATCCAAGGGCATAAAGGTCATTGTGAGAAAACATACTCTTCTCTAACCTACAGTGGCCGCGTGGATATATAAGGGAAAAGAACCGTAGGTTTTTCTTTTGAGCCGCGAAGAGCCACACAGGAAGAAGTCGCGATCGCCGAAGAGAAATCGTACGAAGGAATTATCTGAACACGGTGATTTGTGCAGTGAGTTTATTTTGTCAAATCAAATTGTTTATTCGTAAACATTTTGGGTTTGGGCTTAAATCTAGGTGTGGGAAAGCACTTTCGGCGTTTTGAGCGAATTGTAACTCTAGATTATAGTGGATTATTTATTGCTGGCTTTCCCCGTGGATGTAAGTACCGATATTCGGACCGAACCACGTAAATCTCTGGTGTCCTTTATCGTTTCTCGTTTATTTTTCTGGTATTTTCGCATTAACTTAATTTGCAAGATCCTGTCGTTTCCGCATTATATTTCCAACATAAAGTGCTCAAAAGAATCCGCAAGAGACACCAACAACATCATGTCTTGTTTCTCATCATGCAAGACCTCACTGATGTTCTTCAAGTGCATCATGACTTTGTTAAGCTCGTCCAAATGGGCTCTGATTGATGTTCCTTCAACACCCCGCATCCTTTTAAGCTTGTACAAGCAATTATTTAAACCCCCCATCAAATAAAGTGACTCAAGTTTTGCTCACAAAACTATGACATCCTTCTCTTTGGGCACTTCCTCCAACACCTTATCCAATAGATTCACTAGGATTATGCTTTTTGTCTTCTCCATAAACTATATCTTATTGGCCTCTTTCATAATTTTTGATAATTTATCCTTGTCATCTAACATCTTTATGAAACCATAGATTGTTACTTGGAACGCATCTTAATACTCCACAACTTGAAGTTATTCCTTGCGTTGAACTTCTCAATCTAAACTCCTGCTTCGGATATAATTGCAAATATAACATTTTCAAAAAGTGATTAGACAAGACAAGCAACAACTCCAAATCACCTCTAATAACCCTCACCTTAGTTCTGATACTAATTGTTGTGGAATAATGCAGAAGCTAACAAATCTTACAATTCAAGTCTAACGTAAAAAAGAAGAAATTACTAGAGATTCACCGAGGATCGAATGACACTCGAAATTTATATGGTTCGGTCTGAGTGTCAATATTTACTCCATGGAAGAGCTAGCCGCCAAAAAATTCACTATAAATCTGGCAAATTATAGAGTAACAATCATCCGAGTGTTTCCTAACCCTACAATACACCCAAAGCAAAATCCATGAGTGTTATTTCACACTTTCTCACTTTCTCATAAATCTCTTAGAGAGAAAAATCCCAACACTTGTCTTGTTTGCTCTATTGTGAAATGACTGAATAGATTTCGTTTTTATATTTTTTTATGTGACTTGCCGACTCAAACTAAGATTCCAACTCCAATGTGAAAAGTGTTTCAATAATTTCTCGCTTATTACGACGTCAAATCACAAGTCCTATTTGGATTTAGAATTTCTACTTGGATTTAGATTTTTGTCACAGGTTCGAGTTCTAGACATAATCTAAGAGATATAATTGTTGAATGAGGTCATGGATCTTTACATGCAGAGAAGGCTTTACGCTACAATTATCAACTCATAAAAAAACAACAAAGAACAAGACATGGACTATTTTTATGTATATACATATATGTCTTGGACCACCATCGGAAACCATTAGGAAAATCAGCAATAAATCAAACTGAATCAAGAAAAGATCATGCGACATCTGACATAGACGATCTGTATTTGCCCGTTGTCTTCTGTGAAGGAAACAAATCTTCTATGATGATTGTCTCTCTCCATGCAACTGCATAACTATTGATCAACATACATGTGCAAGGACATAGCGCAACGATCATTTTCAGTTGATTTTCACTGACATGTGCATTATCAGTGGTCCTGTCTCATAACTGATTAGGTTGCGTATCAACATTAACAGGAAACAAAAACCATGCATTTGGTGATGCCGGGATTCCTTAATTCTATGTGTGCAAAAGCATTCAAAGAGATAGATAGTACTTCATGTTGAAGCTAACCTCAAACGCGAATATCAGGTGCATCAATACTAGTATGATCAATTAAACATATTAATCCTTCCCGTTTAGAAATGTAAATATGCATTTAGCATGACGATCACCTAGGCCACAAATGGCTCCTAAACATCAAGCGATTATTCAAGTGATATTCAGAAGTTTAACTAATTAATATATTATGTCTCCAACTTGGGATCGCACATGATCAATCACCATCAAAATCAACTGAGGATCGATCAGCCGACTGCTTAGTGCTTAATTTCATGTAGAGTTTGTTATATCATGTGGGCTCAATTAAATTAAAATGTGAATAGTCTATGTAAATGCTATCGGAGAATCTTCACCTCCGAAAGCAAGCATCTTCATTCTCCGACTGTCCTTGTCTTTACTCTTCGCAACCTTTCCCCCCCAACAATAGTTCAATTTCTCAGTTCTTAATTCACACTCGGCATATTGCACCAATCTTATAAATAGCGAACAAAACCAAAACCAAAACCAAAACCAAAACCAAAACCAAAGTTCATCAAATCATAAAAGATGGGTTCGATGGCAGAATTGAAGCTCCCAGTCATAGACTTCTCGAGCCCGCGGCTCAAGCCGGGCACAGCCGAGTGGACTGCCGTGAGAGACAAGGTGAAGCAAGCGCTGGAAACTTACGGCTGCTTCGAAGCCCGGTTCCAGAAGGTGCCCATCGACCTGCAAAAGTCAACGCTTGGCTCGGTCCGGGAGCTCTTCGACTTGCCCTTGCAGACCAAGCTCCAGAACGTCTCGAGGAAGCCCTACCACGGCTATGTCGGGCAGTACCCCATGGTCCCGCTCTACGAGAGCATGGGGATCGACGACGCCGACGTGTACGAGAAGGTGGATGGCCTTACCACTACCTTATGGCCCGAGGGACATCCGAATTTTAGGTAATCATAGTTTTTTAAACACGGGGATCGATTATATATACTTTGCGCCTCGTAATTTATATATACTGAGACAGAACTCTCTCTCTCTCTCTCTCTCTCTCTCTCTCTCTCTCTCTCTGTGGCAGCAAAACCATACAATCATTCTCGCAGAAGCTATCGGAGTTGGATAAGATGGTAAGGAGGATGATCTTGGAGAGCCTCAGCGTCGAGAAATACTTGGACGAACACATGAACTCGACCAACTACCTTCTTCGTGTCATGAAGTACGAAGGGCCTCAGACGACTGACACTAAGCTTGGCCTCAACTCTCACACGGACAAGAACATCGTCACCATCTTGTGCCAGAACGAAGTCGAGGGTCTCGAAGTCCAGACCAAAGACGGCGAGTGGTACAGCACTCAGCCCTCGCCGAATTCTTACATCGTCATGATAGGAGACTCGCTCTACGTAAGTCTTATTTATGATACAATGTTACATAACATACCGGCTGTGGGGCACAAAATAAATAATACATTCCTTAACACATGATACGATCTTACAGGCGTGGGTAAACGGTAGATTACACTCTCCGCATCACCGAGTCATGATGAGCGGCAACAAGGCGAGGTACTCAGTCGGACTGTTCTCGATCCCGAAGGGCGGGTACATGATAAAAGCACCCGACGAATTGGTGGATGAAGAGCACCCTTTGCTCTTTAAGCCCTTTGATCATGTGGAGTTCTTGGGGTTCTACTACACCGAAGCTGGACAAAGAGCTGAATTTGCCCTCAAAACTTATTGTGGTGTTTGATGTTGGCCCACGTGATTTTTGAATAAACAAATAATGTATGAATGAGTGTATGTATTTCTGCAATTTCCTTTCAAGTTTGTGAGAAAGAGTTGTTTTCAACTCTTTTGGTGGAATGTCATGTACGTACCGTGCTAAATGAATCCTTATTTTGCTGTATAATTGTTGAAATAAATCATGGATCAAGTTCCATACAGAGAAGGCTTCAGTCTACAATAATTAACTCATAAAAAAACAACAAAGAACAACACATGGACTTTATTTATGTAAATAAATATGTCTTGGATCACCATTGGAAACCGCTAGCAAAATGAGTACTAAATTCAGACTTAATTAATAAAATATCATGTGACCTCATGTAGACGATCTACATATGCCCGTTATATACTAGGAAGAAATCAAAACCTTCTATCATGATTGTGTCTCTCCATGCAATTGTACAATGATTGATCATCATACGTGTGCATGGACAAAGAACTTATTGCCAACCTCTTTTCAGATTTGATTAAAAAGGGAAAAATGTGTATCAGTATCTCAATTAAAATTGAAATATGGATTTGATTCACAGTCCTGTTCTGAGAAATATTTACCATCCGAAAAGGAGAAAAATGGAGATTTTGTCTAAAGAAGAGCGCTAAGATGGGACGGATGTATAAAATCTTTCAACAAAATAGTGTTTTTTCAACTCCCTCCAAATGAAATATGTTTCAAATGTACATGCCATGGTTCCTTACCTTGACAAGGTGAAAAATATATAAGTTAGATTTTTTCAGATACTTTTTCAAACCGATTCGCAATACTAAGTAGCAATAAAAAAAATTATCCTTTATTCATGATATTATGCATGGATAAGATATATTATGGGAATAATTCAGAAAAGATCATATTTTCTACAATGGAATATGATAAGTGAGATTTCTTCTGAAATCCTACAAGATCCATTCTTTCTTTTTCTTTGATAGATAGTCATAACTTCATTTGGGTTTGCATCCTACCGAGAGATCCAGTAGAGATTAGAAATTGTTGAAGAAAGAACGAGATGTTTCTTGTTTTTCCCTTCCAAGCACTCAGAAGATAAAGAAACAGTTAATATATTCAAGATAATTACGTACTTATCAAATATTGTCTCAATTCATTCTATTTTATCAGATTCGGGAAGTGATATGATTCCAAGGGATGAACCGAAGATAGACAGTTCCAATAAGATTTCAGTCTTGATCAAAAATATAATTTTTTTAATTTGCATATTTGTTCCATGACTAGAAGGAGGACGCATGTTATAACACGACTTTAAATCAGAAGAGTGATTTCAAGAAATGGCAAATTATAAAAGAGATGAATATTACTTGGGATATCATGAGAGTAGTTCCTATTCATAAAATTAATTCAACTAATCAACAAGGAATTAATTAATCAATACTCAGAAGTTTAACTTATTGATTGTATCATGAACTTAGTGTTATACGGAATCAATCACCTTCAGAATCAAGATCAGCCGAATGCTTATTGCTTAAAACATGGAAAGTTGTTGTATTATGTTGGCTGTTTCATTGAAATTTAATAAGTCTATGTAAGTGCTATTAGAGAATCTTCACCTCCAAAAGCAATCGTCTTCATGCCTCCCACAGTCCTTGTCCCTACTGTCAGCAGCCGTTTCCCCCATAAAAGTTCAATTTCGTAGTTCTCAATTCATTCTCGCTCAGCATTTTGCACCAATCTTATAAATAGAGACCAAAACCAAAGTTTACCAGCTTATAGAAGATGGGGTCAATGGCATAATTGAAGCTCCCGGTCATTGAGTTCTCGAGCCCAGGGCTTGAGCCGGGCACGGCCCAACGGACCACCATAAGGGACGAGGTGAAGCAGGCGCTGGAAAGTTACGGCTTCTTCAAAGCCCGGTTCGAGAAGGTTCCAATCCAACTGCAAGAGTCGAAGCCTTTTAACGATTTGCCAATTTTGTCCTAAATTTTTAAATTGTGTCAATTTAATCCTAAATCTTTTGATGATTTTGCCAATTTAGTCCTAAGCCTTTTAATGAATTACCAATGTAGTTATTTTGGCTAATTTTGACCAAAAATCTCTATCATACATGGCATGGCTAGCCCCGACGTGGCATGGCTGGCGCTAACGAAGATACTTTTTTTAATTTTTTCTCAAACATTTTATTGAGTTTTTTTATTTTTTCTTTTATTTTTGTCTATTTTCTTCACAAGGCCAATGGGGCTGTTGACCCTTGGGCTTCCTCGCCCACCCTCGCCAGCCCTCTCCCTCACCTAGTGGTTGGCGGAGGTCATCGGCCCTCGATCAATAGTTGGTGGTCTCGTCGGCCCTATGAAGAAAAAATAAAAAAAGAAAAGAAAAAATTTAAAAAAACTAAAAAAATTATCCATGTTAGTGCCGGTCATGCCACATAGAACGGTTGGCACTGCTAGACCGCCACTTTAGTGATTTTCGGCCAAAAAGACGAAAGGATTACATTGAGAATTCTTTAAAATGTTTAAGGCTAAATTGGCGAATCGTCAAAATGTTTAAAACTAAGTTGACATAATTGAAAAGTTTAGGAATGAATTGACAAATTGTTAAAAAGTTAGGACTAAATTGGCCAAATTGAAAGGTTTATGACTGAATTGGCACAAATGCATTAGGTTGAGGACTTTTTTGATAGTTTCTCTCTTTTTTTAAAAATAATACTCAGCATAAGACTAAGAGAAAAGTGAACTTAACTTAAGGGTTCAAAGAATGAAGGCAACGTGCATATAACAGCCCAAGGCACACGAGGCAATGTGCATCTAACACACATACCAAATTAAATAAAAGTAAATTCATTTCAACAAAACTTTACATGTATTAGATCATTTAAATTAGCAGCATCGAATCACATATCAATTGTCCATGTCATTGATTAATATCAAATCACATTTTAATGATCCATTCTATTAATCAATGTCATGTTTAATATCCAACTATGGTCATAGCATAAAGTTTGGTGACAAAGCGACCAAGATTTCTCCCTTACCAGGGTCTCCACCTATTATTATTCGATGGCTCAGCCCAAAATGATATCATCAACAGTATGCATACTCACAAGCCTCTCATTGGATTTAGAGTGAGAATGAGCATCAAACCATCATCCACCAATAATTCACAAAACCAATCTAAAATTCATATCATGAATTGGTTTCACAAACCAAAACATATAACCTTTTACAGTTCAATTTATCAAACATAATACCATTCATAAATTAGGTTTATAAATCAGTACTTATAGTCTTTTGCAAATCCTTTTCACGAAGCTTTCCTCAAATCATTTGCAAATAATCAACCCCAACTATTTCATAGTATAACCAAAGGTTAAATAAATATACTCTAAACATCACTTTTCTTTTCAATGAAATATCCAATCATGGGGAAAAGTGTCAAAAACGTCCTAAACCTTTTGTATTGATGCCAATTTAGTTCTAAACCTTTTTTTGGTGCCAATTCAGTCATAAACCTTTTCATTGGTGCCAATTGAGTCATAAATCTTTTTTTGGTACCAATTTAATCCTAAACCTTTTGCATTGGTGCCAATTCAGTCCAAAATCTTTTGCATTTGTGCCAATTAGTCCTAAACCTTTTTTTGGTGCCAATTCAGTCCTAAACCTTTTGCATTTGTGCTAATTCAGTTCTTCGACACGTGAATAGCTATTAGCCGGAAGGACTGAATTGGCACCAATGCTAAAGATTTAGGACTGAATTGGTACTAATACAAAAGGTTTACAACTGAATTAGCATAAAAAAAAGTTTAGGACTAAATTGGCACTAATGCAAAAGGTTTAGGACTGAATTGATACCAATGCAAAAGGTTTAGGATTGAATTGGCACAAAAAAAAAGGGTTTAGGACTAAATTTGTATCAATGCAAAAGGTTTAGGACTGAATTGACATTAAAAAAAGGTTTCGAACTAAATTGGCACCAATGCAAAAGGTTTATGACTTTTTTAACACTTTTCTCCAAATAATGTCTCTTTCATAAATCATAACATATCTAATTCCTATATTTTTCAAGATATGAATTTACAAATTCAAAGAAAAGATAAGCACCACTCATCTAGGAAAGCTTAAACCAAACCACAAAGATTATTCGAGTCGATTAACTAGCAATCCTATCAAATAAGCAAGAAACAATATTAAAATTAAGTAAAACACTACCTCAATTACAAATCGAATAAACTAAGCTTAATTGCTAGTAAAACGGCTCCTTTATACCCACCAATTTTTAAAATTGGTTTTGATCAAATCGTATTTCGAAATTGACTTTTGTAAAATCTCATAGCTCCACAACGCCCTAAACTATCATTTTCATATAATTTCACAACCAAACAACTCCTAGATTGGACCCAAAAACTCAGATTTCACATGGATCCAAATTTAGGGCTTTCCTCCAAAAATTCTTTCGATTATATCCTTACTGGGCATGCACACGTAAAACCCCATTCTCTTCTTTTGTCGGTTTTTCTCTCTCTCTCTCTCTCTCTTTTCACTGCTCAGTTCTACAAGAAAGCTTATACATAGGTTGAGGATGGAGTGGGCTCAGGGCTTTAGGCTTAAGTGAGACTTGCAATTGGACTTATTTTCGTTTTATACATTTAAGCCCACTTGTTACATAAATGTCACTATTTCTTAATATGTGACGACACAATCTATTAGACTACTAACTTTTCGTCTCTTTATAAATTGTGCATCATTGATTCTTTTTTAATGAAACATTACTCACTTTCATTAACTAGTGAAAAGAAAGACACTTTCATAGATTTTATCAACACTTTCTCGGGATGTAGATTTAATCAACCTTTCAATGGTAATATATGAAAGTGGTTGTAACATGCTATATATTAAAAAAAATATTAAAAAATTATTTAAAAAAATGTCCACGTCAGTGCCAGTTATGTCACGTAGGATGATGGGCGTTCATGTCAGCGATTTTTGACCAAAATTAGTTTGATAGATTGAATTAGTATCGATGTGAAAATCTTTAGGACTAAATTGACTAAATTAAAAGGTTTATGACTGAATT